GAAAATTAGTGAAATTATGATGTTTTCATACAAAGAATTGATGCATATGATGTGTGATAATATTTTTTATTGTTATATGATGAAACTAAGTGAATCTATGATGAATTAAGACCCGTACTATGAAGAAATTGTGTAGAAATAGGGATTGTACATTGCAGAAATCACAACAGAGAAGTCATGTTCACGCTGCAGCGTCAGGCGATGGATGCTTGTCATCGGGCAATGAAGCCTCGTTCCACCAGTGTTGGGCGAGTAAAAAGAGATGAGAATGGGGTGAAAAACATAGCCCCTGGATTTTGTATGGAGGGTTGGCTGTCGTTTGAGCGTCGTCGGGAAACGCAGAAGCGAGAGGAGAGCGTCGGGCGAGCAAGATGTGTCGTCGAGTGATGGAGACCAAAAAGGAATGGTGGTTCTGTCGCTCCCTCATCATCGGGCGAGCCTCAGGCGAGAATCCTGCTTCGTCTGGCGAGCATCAGGCGATGGATAACATTAGCATTTTAAAAGTGTCGTAACTTGAGTTTCAGGACTCCGATTGATGCATCGTTCAAAGCATTAGGAAACTAACGCGATGAACTATACTTTGGTGGAATAAAAAGAGTCGTATGATGTGTTTTTTCCAGTATCTATGCTTTGATGAATAAGATGATTCAGTGATTGTTTTGGTATAATGTATGGGTAAACCATGAATTGTTAATGTTATAATGATGATGTTTTACATTATGCAGTATGTATTAATATTATGATGATTATATGAATGGTGATGCGTTTGACTAGTAGTGGTCATTTGGTTATTAAGATGTTTCGCATCATGCATTCATGGTATATGTTAGGGCATAGCCCAGTGACGGTTGCAGGATATTGTTTCAGTTAATTTTGTAGGATGAATAGTCTAGTGATGGCCTCAATCCCATAGTATGGATTGAGTGTAATGTGTGATGTGCTCTGGTTCCAAGCAGAGATCGATCCTATTGATGGGGATCTTTAGAGAAAAACAATGTCAGTGTCATCAGTGAAGTTTTGGTACCACATGCATGAATCTAACGAAGTTGCGTTGCATTATATGTAGCATTGCATGATGATTTCATTGAGTGATGTTTTGTGAATGTGTGTTTGAGATAGTTGCTAATTGATACTATTACCATGTGCCTGATGAGTATTATGATGCTGTGAAGGTGTGAGTATGACATGAGGTTTCGATAATGTGGTGTTTTCCTTGGTTTATAATATAACTATTATATTTACTCCTTTTCTTTTACAATGATTATGATTTACTCACCCTTGCTGCTTGGAAATGTTACCTCTTTACCTGAGTAACTTGCAGGTAATCAAGAATAGTCCGTCGAGGCTTAGAGGATAGTTGCAGAGTGTGTTCTTTATTTCCTGTGAAATAAAGGGGTCTTGCTCTAATATGTAACATCGAGGGCGAGATCATTTGTTTTGAATAACCATGTTACTTTGTTTATTTCGATATTTGAACTACCCTTATGGTATTTGAGTTGTTTTGATTGATAAAGTTATTTAGAAGTATCTTAATAAAGATGTTTTGAATTATGAATTTCCGTTGTGAGTAAGTTGAAAGGTTATGGTTTTTAATCATGAAGTACTTAACGTAATTGATTTTTGAAAACCCGTTTTACGAAGCAGGACGTGTTTTATTATGAAGTTTGTTCGAAGCAATGTGACACTCTTTTTGGTGCATTACTCTGATTTAATTATCGAATTATTTTGAGAATATTATTTGGGATTTAAAAAGGTGTTACACCATGCACATATTTAAACCTTCGAATGAACCGGTTTATGCCAAATATTATCTAAAACCGAGTTGACATATTGATCTTCCCTGTTGGTAAGCATTTGGTACACATCACTGATAATATAGGACATGCCTTTAGAAAAAGTCCATTCGTCCTGAATATTATCTTGTAAAGAGACATCAAATAATAGTAACTGACACTCCTCCACCAATTCCTTCTCCCAAGCTAACCACCCCCGACGCCGCCTCCATGCACCACCGCCTACTCCTCACCCTAAGAGAAACATGTTCGCTACCGACTCCCCTTTTAACTCAGATAACTGGTAAAGACGACTAAATCTTTCACATAAAGGCGTCTCTCCTACCCAAGTATCAGTCCAAAAAAGAGTATGAGCACCATTATCCATATTTATACACATGTTCTCATTAAACTAACCTCCTTCCTCTTCACCTCCTCCATCCTGAACCCGACCCACCTCTCTCCAGCAATTTGAACAACGCCATCCTCCTGATTTCACTCGCCCCGTTTCTACTCCATATCGAGCTTCCAACACCTTCACCCAAAACCCCTCTCTCTCAACAAGCATCCTCCAACACCATTTGTCTAGCAGAGCTATATTAAACTCATTTAGCCTCCTAACACCCAGACCACCGAACTCATTGTTTTTAGAAATAGTCGCCCAATCAACCCAAGCTGTTTTCCTATGATTATCACTACCACCCTAGAAGAAATTTATAAAAATAGAATCTAATAAAGTGATAATACCTACAGGAGCCTTGAAGAAAGAAAGAGCAAAGATGGGCATAGAGGTAAGGACAAACTTCAAGAGGCTTAACTGACCCCTTAGCGATAAATGACGACTCTTCCAACCAGACAACTTAGATTTCATATGGTCCACCATTGGACCCCAAAAATCCAATCTTCTAGAATCACCACCAATCGGAAGACCTAAGTACATGAAAGGAAACCTCTTGATTCTACAATAAAGCACCGAGGCTTCCTCATACAACCATGACTTTGAAATGTTAAGACCAACCAATATACTCAAGTGAAAATTAACTTTTAATCCTGACACTGCTTCAAATAACACTAGAACAACCCTCAAGGCCCGGACATTAGCCCAACTCCTCACCCCCATGAGCAAGGTATCATCTACAGACTGGAGATAAGAGATGACAATAGTAGCCTCTGAACCTATAGAATATCCCAAAAAAAATTGGTATTTACAATCACATCCATCAAAACATGCAACCCTTCTTCCGCCAAAAGAAAAGACAAAGAGATAATGAGTCACCTTGACACAACCCCTTTTCAAACCTAAACTCCTGATGTTGGACTACCATTAACCAACACTGATGTTGATGTTGATCCAATGCACTCTTTCATCCACTCCCTCCATAGAGTTGAGAAAAACATTCTCCCCATCACAAGATCCAAATCACCCCAATCCACACACTCATATGTCTTTTCAAAATCCATTTTGAACAACATCAATTCTTTTTTCAACTTATGGGTCTCGCCCACCACCTCATAAGAAATCAAAATACCATCAATAATTTGCCTATCTTTTACAAAAGCCGACTGACACTGTGAAATAACATTTCTCATTACCAACCTAAAACAATTTGCCACACCTTAGTAATAATTTTATATAAACATCCAACCAGAGCAATAGGACGAAACTCATTCAACTTAAAAAAACATTGCTAAGAGACACATTGTCAAGAGACACATTGTTAAGAGACACATTGTTATATATCACCACTCTGACGAATCAGATGATAAACTTAAAAAAGACACATTGTTAATAGACTTGTTTGTAGTGGTCAATATACAGTCAGTATCACTAGAGTTTCAAAATGAATAACTTTTAGAGGTTGAAACCATAGGTCCCATCAACTTCATGTCGCCCAAGCTCTACAATGACCCTCTATTGGTTCTCAAAAGGACGAAGACATATCTTTATAAAACTCCTTTAATATGAGAATCAACGAGTATCCTATGAGGGAACTCCAAAAATCATTGAGAATATGAACCTTTGATGGACCGAACGACGAACACATGGATCTTGTTGATGTCCTTTTAAACTTTAAGGGAGCGAGAGATCATGAGAATTGAAAATTATTTGTCTTAACCCTAAAACGTCAAATTATGGTACAAATTTTTAATCCAAAATATTTCTCACATTCGATTGAAACATTCTTGGGTGGTCAGAGTACTTCCAGATACCATTCCTTGTCGAGGTGACGGACCATGAGTAACATCAATTCTCGCATCTTTCTTTAGGAATGATTCTTTATTCAGAAGAATCAGTGATATTTTGTACAAAATATTACCCGATTGATGCATTTCCTAATGTTATTGCAATATTTAGAAGGGTTATTAAACTTCTAAGAACAACCACTCTAATACCACTTTGGGTTATGACTATGATACTTAACAACAAAAAAAGCTTAATTAAAAGAAGAGAAATGCTAAAATTAAAAGGATAATTGTTACTTCTCTTTCCAATTCAAACATTAAGAGAGTACACTACAACAATTGCAGTAAATACATTTTGTTGATCTAGTAAATAATTGCAATAAATACATTTTGTTGATCCAGTAAACAATTGCAATAAATACATTTTGTTGATCCACTAAACAAACATGTTTAAAATCTGTTATGACATAAATTATGAGCAACCTACGAATGATACTTTACATGAAAAAACCTAGAAGATAGGCATTAACTAAAATGTTACATGTTTTTGTATTCAACCGAGGATTGGATCCTGCGATCATATAGTTATCATATGTTAAATGAGTTAAGATCACATTTCAAAAGATAGATCAAAGAATAAAGTTGTTAAAAATACATTTATACATCTAACAGAGTCAAATTTAACATGATATCAAAATCGGATTAAAGACCAATATAGAAATTGTTTGAAGTTCCAAATTACTTTAAGTTCTCGGACAATTGGATTTATATGTGTTTGATCAACCTCATCTTTCAAACTAGTAGCATTTAGAATGAGACACAAGCCCGTTTAAATGCATACATAAATGATACTTAACACAAAAAGTCATGAAAATAGGTCAACCAAAATGGTACATGTTTGTTGGAGTCATGGTGGGATTTTCAAGAAAAGCATTGCCAATCAAAAGTTTGAATTTACAACTTCATACAAGTTGTGTCCAAAAAGCATGGGGACTTGATAATTTATGTTGCAGTACCGCAATTTCAAACGGGCACTAAAAAGTCCTAGCACGATGTCCAAACACAGACCTGGCTTCCGCTCGTACCGGCTGCTAGCATCCCAACTTCGTAAGAGTGTGCATCAAATTTATGTGGAACTGCAGATACGAGTGGGCTCTCTAGAGTCATCACAGTTGCCTTCTGAGCTGTCGAGACAACGCCAATTCCTCTTTTTGTACTCCCAGTGAAGAGGTACGAGTCGTCCCAACCCCATATTGCCCTGCCACCATGAAATCAAGATAACAAATGTCAACTGTTTTTGTTCGGAATTAAATAAGTTCCTTTTTAACTAATGAAGACTGGAAACTGTGGGACAAGATCAGCTGATAGCAAGAGAAAAAAAGCATAAAACTCAACAAGATCTGTTGCTTCCCCAGAAACCGCACCTGAAAGTAGAAAGCTTCTGGCTTCTTACATCATTAACAAAAGCTGCGTCTTTCAAGTTAACTCCACTGTATATGACAATCGTGTTGTTCTTGCTACATCAAGAGATTATATCAACTCAATCCAATCAAATTCACAATTAGGTAAATAAAATCAAGGATTAGAATCATCATAAGATTATAGCCAAGGATTGAAAAAGCAACATATTTATTGAATCAAGTTTCTACGCAGAACTGAACTTAACAAATAACAATAAATACTAGACGTTATGAAGCACGGACACCACAAACACGACTCCTACACTTACACGGTGGCACTCCTAATAATTTGAAAAAATGAATAAACTAAACGCAATCACAAGTGTTTCATTTTCATACCTTGTGATCGCAAGGCTACATCCAGAAGGAGAGAAGTAGGCAGATTGCAAGGCCCTTTCATGGCTAAATCTCCTTAAAGCTGGGAAGTTACCGCCCTTACCCATACCACCAATACGTCTAAAATCCCAGGTACATGCATTTCCATCAGATGAACTAGTAACTGCAATGTGAGGGTTTTCAGGGTTGAAATCTATTGTATTAATCCTCATTCGATGCAAAGCTAAGCCGGACAAAGAGGAACATGTTCCTATCCTCTTATCCCAAACAGTCAAAACTCCAGAACCTTCAGCTAAATATAAACAGTTTGCCTCATTCTTTGGTTGCGAGAGAGCAGATATACGTGCTTTATCACTACTTTTATATACGATATCGAAAATTTCCTTCTCAACATCCATCATCCTAGCAAATCCATCATTACAACTTGTGTATATCTGCATATTAAAATCAACAATCACTGCATCAGAAAATTCTGCTATTTCGCAAACATGTTAACAGAAAATAAGAATTCATTCACACACCTTTGACAAGCAATGTGATTGAACCACAATCCCCGAAATAATAGTTTGATGCGGACGATACAAAAAAACCTCACTTTGTCCAACATTCCAGAACCCAATATTCCCGGAATTGTCACCCGCTACAATCATCTTGAAATCATTGGAAGGGAAGAACCGCGTTTGAGTTAGCCTTCCAGGAACAACATTTGATATATTTTCAGGATCCAAAGACATGGATTCCAACTCAAAAGAACACTCAGTTTTGTTCATTTTTGCAGTACCATTGGATTGTTGTTTTAGGGTTTCAATGAAAGAGCAATCCGAGTGTGTGCCTTTGTAAGCTTCCTTCATTGGAAGATGATCCAAAATGTTAGGATTGCTGGATTTAGTGTTACTATAAAAGAGAGAATTTGAGGGATCGGTTGCAACACCTGTAAGGGATTTGTTAGAATTAGTTGGTTAGGTTTGTTACTTCATACTATATAGCATTGATACCTCTGGGAAAAAAAAAGCATATGTGACGGTTGTGATTAAGTTTAATTTATTCATTTTGTCAAATTATTATCGGTGGCGACGTGTGAGAGTCTAAGTCATGATTTAGGTGTTTGTGCTTCATATCTTGATACATAATCAGTTTTTTCATTTTATAAGTTCTAAAAATAAAAATACTACCTCTGGTTCGGAGGGAGAATCTGGTAGCATTAGGGGTTTCGGTTTTCGGTTTCTTCTCTGATTTCAATTTGGTCACAGCGCTGTAAAATTCAAATAGACAATGTCATTCATCAACAATAACCAATGTTGATATTAGAGAAAAATAATGAAGCTATTAGAGAAGAAAATGACCTTGGAGGCTTGAAGAGTTGTGACGCTTTGGAATATATTTTGAGAGCGGAAATCATTTCGGTGTTGCGACGAATGTTTTCGAGTCGCTTCAGTTCGTATTCAGAAAGTTTCTGAGTCGCCATTGAAGAGGAAGATTTTAGGTTTCTAATGGCTTCTTAGCTTAGCGGAGTATTTGTTAATTTATGTTTCTGAATTCTAAAAGGAGAGAACATTGAAGAAAGGAATTATTTCCCGCGCAAAAATCCTTCTGAAATGTAGGATAGTTTGGTAATTACCATCTATACAAAAATCATTTCATTCTCATTTTAAATTTTAATTTATAAAATAATTTTATATAGATACTAATAATCATATAGACCTTGATGATGATGATAACAACAATAATAATAATAATAATAATAATAATAATAATAATAATAATAATAATAATAATAATAATAATAACAATAATAATAATAACAATAATAATAACAACAATAATAACAACAATAATAACAATAACAATAATAATAACAATAATAACAACAATAATAACAACAATAACAATAATAACAATAATAATAATAATAACAATAATAATAATAACAATAATAATAATAATAATAACAATAATAACAACAACAATAATAATAACAATAACAATAATAATAACAATAATAACAACAACAACAATAATAACAATAACAACAATAATAATAATAATAACAATAATAACAACAACAATAATAATAATAATAATAATAATAATAATAATAATAACAACAATAACAACAATAATAATAATAACAACAACAATAATAATAATAATAATAATAATAATAATAACAATAATAATAATAATAACAACAACAATAACAACAATAATAACAATAATAACAACAACAATAATAATAATAATAACGATAATAATAATAACAACAATAATAACAACAACAATAATAATAACAACAACAATAATAATAACGATAATAATAATAACAACAATAATAATAATAACAACAACAACATCCATGGTGAAGCAGGGGAAGCAAGGGAGACCGGGGCGTCCGAAAAAAGTGGTGTCGCCGCCACTCCCTGTCAGTCCTCAACCTCCACCTCCACCACTTGATTGTCAATGTTCGCGAGATGATGAAATATCGGCTACAGGAAGCTCGTTTGGTCTTAAGGATTCTGAACCGATATTGCAGAATGTAGGGGGTGATGATTTTGATGTTTTAAAGTGCGAGAACCCAGTTGCGAGGAAACTATGGGTTGATGTCCTAACTGATAATAGAAATCCCTCTAAGGGGAGGGCTATGAGTTTTATTGCGCCTAAGATTGTTAATGGTGAAGTGGAAGTTCTGATAGCTAAAGAGGACATATGTGATGAGATTCAATTCTGGGAGCCGTCTTTAGTTCTCTATGTCCTCGGAGGGGAGATGAGCATGAACGGTGTGAAGAACTTCATGGCAAGATTCTGGAACTTTGTTCCACTTCCAAACATTTACTATAACGAAGAGGGTTATTTCATTATGAGATTCAAAGATTTTAATGACAGAGATGAGGTTCTAATGAGGGGTCCCTACACATTCAGAAGTATGCTCATTCTTATCCGTGAATGGCGCCCAGATTTTAACTTGAAGACTGATTTTCTGCGCACCCTTCCTCTATGGGTTAAATTCCCCCAACTGTCTATCTATCTTTGGGGAGATACCAGCCTTAACAAAATTGGAAGTGCAGTGGGTAACCCTATTGTTACTGATGAGTGTACTGCCAACCGTCTGCGTGTCTCATATGCGAGAATCCTTGTAGAAGTTGATGTCACAAAATATCTCCCTAGGTCTATCATGATATGTGATGATTCTGGAAACAAAATGGAGCAGCGGATTGAATTTGAATGGAGGCCTGCATTTTGCAAAAGCTGCCAAAAGTTGGGGCATAACTGTGATAAGCCTAAAGTCCAGACAAAGCAATGGCAACCTAGAACCAATAAGCCAGTGGAAACTAAACCTGAGGGTCCTGAGCTTAACAGTCCAGTTGCTGAACCTGAAGCTGAGGTAGCTGAATCTTCTCATCAACATATGGATGTCAATTGGTCTGCAGTTAAAAGAGGTAAGGACTTAGGCAATTATGTCAAGACCCCTCCTGTTAACCTGCTCAGTGACAATGGTTTTGATGCCTTGGGGATTTTAAATGATCTTCTAGAGTTACAAAACCCTGGCTAATGCTTGCTTCTTGGAATGTGAGGGGGCTGAATAAATCTGCTAAGCTCAGGGAGATTAGCTCCCGTCTCATAGAGCTTAAAGCTGCTATAGTTATCTTGGTGGAAACTCGTGTTAAGATCCATCATGCCAATAAAGTTAGAAATTTGCTGAATCTAGGTGATAATTTTCTGGACAATTACAACTGTCATCCCAATGGTAGGATTTGGATCAATTGGAATAAGAATATCATTGATGTTAAACAAGTGACTGCAACTATCCAGATGATTCATTGTGAGGTTAATGATACCCTTGGCAATCATAGGTTCCACCTGACTGCAATCTATGGCTCGAACAAGCTGGAACGAAGGAAGGTCATGTGGCAGAATTTGTGCAGTTTAAACCTTCAGGGCCCTTGGTGTATTGTTGGTGATTTCAACAATGTACTTCACGGTAAAGACAGAATTGGGGGATCCATGGTTACTGAGGGTGAATTTCATGATCTTGCTGAGCTAATGCAGAAACTGGACCTTGCTGAGATAGATAGTACATGGGAGTATTTTACTTGGTCAAATAAACACTGTGTGGGAACCATATATTCGAGGATAGACCATTGTCTGGCTAACCCTGCCTGGTTTCTAAAGCATCTGAATTTTAGCCTTAAAATTCTGCCTCCTCAAGTGTCTGATCATGCGATGCTTTTCCTCTCTGATCAAGATGTGTCT